TCGTAAACAATCCCACCACATAAGCATATGGGAAAAGCCTAGGCTTCCTTTAAACTCACACCTGCCCTGTAACCCATAGGAACTAATGAGTGATGTGTGATAAAGGCTTCGAGACTATATGATGCACTACCCAGGTTAAGAGTTCGCCGGGAGTGCTGCTGAGAATACCTTTTGGAAATCAATAATAGTGAAAATTCAATGGAAACATGAGGCCTATTCGTATAAGTGGGAAAATTCAATTAGCATTTCTTGGTCAACAAAATAAGGCACTTATATAAAAGCTGCTGGTACGTGCGAACCAACGGAAAACAGATTATGTCAAATAACGTGCTGATCGCCTGACGTAATATGAAAAGCCAGGATAGGAATAACAAGAAAATAAGATGTTCCAATCATCCAATCGCTATAATTATAGCTTGCAGGGTCGTCTCTGCCATTAACAGTATTTATAATAAAGTATAATGAGCCCTTGCAAACCTTTGCGTAAGTGATATAGTCTCGTAGAAGTTTAGCACTGACTCCTTCTCCTCCCAAAGCGTCTTCATCATCATCAGCAAGATAAGCCGCACCTGTAGATCGGTCCATTCGAGTACCAATACCCATATTCGTGCTGCCAGAACTGGTCTCTGAATCTAGATTCTTTGGCCGAGTTCCGCGATAATATAGCCCAACGAGATGGCGAGCCAATCGAGCATCATAAACCTCGTCCTGGGGATCCAGGATGAGGAAGATCAAGTCAAATCGGGAAAGCAGCGTGTGAGGCAACTGTAAACGATAACAAGTGAGAAATATTAGACAGATGAATGAAAATGCGATTATAAGCAATTACTAAATTATTTCTATAAGCACAATTCTTATTAAAGAAGTAAATAACTAAGCCCAAATTCTGCCGAATAAAAAGAAGCAGCAAGTGAGTAGGAACTCTTAAAGATCCCACTATAGTTTTGAGATAAAAAGTAAGACAGTAACAAGGAAATCTCAAGACTACATCGTATAATACTAAAAACACGTGCAGTAACACTAAAGATTGCTAAGGGAATACGTTCCACACAATGTTTATAGTGAATATAATGGATAAAACAAAAAAAATGAAATCGAGGATATCGGTGCAATCGTCTCTCGGTAATATAATAAGTGAGAGATAGACAAAAACAGATGTAACAGAAAATAAGGGTACTCAAACAAAGAAATTATGAGTAGGCCTTACGATGCCATTGAATTCCAATTAGCCTTGTGTCCAAAGAAGTATTATCATCCAGCAAAAACTGCAGTTTCGACTTCATTTGAGCCTCACAGCATCCAAGATGGAAATATAACCTGGACAGCGAGCATAAATTTGTCACGTTATCATTGATATACAATAGTACCAGTAGGAAAAAAGGCGAGCCAGACATATCATATGACATTTTAGTGGTATTATCGATATAAACTTTTATTTGCCTTTACAATTAACGAAATTGCCTGTATTTATAATATATTCGTAATGAAAAAAATTGCTAATAATCTCGAAATTTATTTATTATGAATAAGGAATTTTTGAACATGCTACGATAATGTCAGTAATTAATAAATGAATAAATAGACTAAATCATAGCATGACTTAAGTGCAGCCAAAATGGCAATATTACTAGATAATTGTTGAGCTTGCTTCCATTTCGAATAAAAATGTTTGATAAAGAGAATCCAAGGTCGATTTCACCAGACGACGATGTATTCCTCTTGATCAGCTATCGATTGGATTTACTGGAACATTTATATTGACGCTGTTTCCGAGGTAATTTCCTTCGACTCCAGTGAAAACATGCCAAGCTTTCGCCCGTCAAATGGCGAACATAATCAGAGCAAGGTATGATCCTTACAACCAAATTTAAGTTAAAAATTCAGGAAAAAACAACGGCACATTCCTAAAAAGCTGTATATACACTATGTCTGACCTATGTGAAGTATAAAAGGATTTGGTTAGTTCCAGTTATATATCAACCTCGAAGCATGAGTGTCTGTCTCCTGTGTTCGCCTATGCACGAAACCAGCAGTGATGGCTCAAATTAGAACAAAAGTAACGTCTGTTCTCGAACATCAAGGTTTGATGATCACTAGCTCCACCTTTCTACATATATGTTATAACCATCACTCCGATTGCGCAAGATCAGACATATCTAGTTATGTTGCTCAGCTTATTTTGGTCTTCATGTGAGAGAGGAGTGGGCTAAATGTACAGAGAAATGACTATGATTAGAACCAAAACAATAAAAGACTACTAGGGTTGCCTCCCTTTTGCAAGCGGCTCAATATCCTCTCTATCCTTGAGTATATTAATTAAGCACAAATAATTTTTACTTATCTTCTTGCCGATATTCCTTATATTTAATGTATTCCATGTTCGGTATATTTCGATGGCTTCTCTAATTTTTCGTTTATCCGCAGACATGACATAATCAGCAAAATGAGAAGTTTGGGACCATTAAATTTCGTATCCACCTTCTGCTTTGTGCACAGCCAACTCCGATTTTCGAACACAACAGCCTGTGCAAGCCCTTTTGTGCTCAGCCAACCTGACAAGTTTCTCATCTAACATAAACGCAACCATATAAACACATTATTTTGTAGCATCCCGATCTAGGTACTAGGGCACCTTTCTCTCTAAAAGTGGGCATATATGAAGAAAGTGTCGTAATTTTCATGAAAACAGTTTTTATTTCACATTTCCTTACTTGTTTACCTAACATTTTTTAAAGAAAATGGACGAAGGAAAAGAAAAAAACGAAAAAAAGTTTCCTTATCTCTCTTTACGCATTCACCATTCAAAAAGCTATTCTTTATTAATATAACGTTATTTTCATTCAAACTTAGGGGATAATTGTTTTCAAGAAATATTATTTTGAGCATATCCATTTCACTATTACAATAACTACGACCGACTAATCTTATGCTCCGGATAATAACTATGATTCGAGTAGAAATAAAGCCAGAGTGGGTTGGCTTTCTATATACATCTCTGCTTTAAATATTTAGTGAGAATAATTATCATGTTTAGAAATTGTTAAAGGTCTATATTAAGGCAAAAATGTAAGAACGGCCTAAATTCGAAAATATCGAATATAATTAGTAGTCAATTAGGGTATTTTCTATCCATTCCTCTTATTCATATAATCCCGAGGCAAGTAATCTAGTGTTACCTCACGTGTTTCTAGTAAACTAAGATTTAGTCTTGAGATTTCCTTGTTAATCAACAATAAAACAACGGATTCCTCGAAACACAACTTTTCTTCACATAATGTAACTGCATCCTCTTCGATTGAGAGCAAAATTTAGCTCAGACAGGATAGTATAATGTGAAAACTAAGGGTGAAATAAAATTCAGTAATGAATAAAGTACAACTTCATTTAACATCCTGTGAGGAAAAATCACCGAACAGTTAATTTAGAATAATTGTTGAGCTTATTTCCATTTAGAGTGGAAGTGTTGGATGAAGAGATTCAAGGGTCGGTTCCACCAGAAGACGACGGCGGATTCCTCTTGACCAGCTGTCGATTGGCT